ATGAGACAACAACAAACAAAAATCGTAGGACCGCCTCTTAGACTTGCGCTAGAGGCGGTTTAGCCAATCACACTGGGCCAGCTAATCAATCAGAGCCCATCGTGTATTTCTGAGGGAGGGGCTTCATAAAAGCAGGAAATGATCAGCGCGTTCAGAGGAGAAGGGACAGAGCGGTGTGGAATAAAGGTAAATTATGTGAAAAATTATGTGTTTTTCAACAAACGAAACATTAACACATGTTAGACTGCACCCCATAAACACAATCAAGCCTAGAAAAAACCCAGTCAACCACCCCTTTAAGATGGATGACTAACACTTCACCTCACAACAAGCTGCATTGATTTGAGGATTGTTTAATAGTCCAAGTTGCTGGCAGCTTTTGGTCACTGGTACCTTACATACCTGACACGATTTTCTGGGAGATGAGTTTACTTATAGGTATTCCACAAAAAGCCTTAAGATTTAAGGTCATGTCACTGGAATCGCTGAGGTCATCAATATGTGCAGACAGCCAAACTCCTTTAGTAAAAATACACTTGATAAGAATGGATATTTGACCATATCTAAATACACTGCAAAAGTTTGTCTTGCCAAAATTAATACACTAACCTCCTTGAAAGCCAATGTACTTGTTGCTTCTTGTTCTACAATGCTCCCCAATTCGGGAGAGCTTTGTGATAAACACAGTATAGAAGTTGCACTCATCTGACTTTAAGGACAAGATTTCATTCATGGTACAGTATCTAACGTAAGAAGAGTGACAGATAAAATGTCATTAGATTCTGACTCCTGTTATTTGGGTTGTTAATAAATTGAAATCTGATTTAAACTGCATCAAAGGACCTACTTTGCTGAAGCAATAAGTTCATTTTTGCACAAAGACTCTTCCATGTCCATCTGAACCACAAGAATGTGCAGAGAAAGTCCAGATTCCCTCAGGAAGGACCTTTGGAAAAAGAGGTACAATGTTTTAGAAATTGTTGACCATTTGTTGTTAATAAAGGTACTGAATAAAGTCAACAAAAATAATATAAACATTACCGTATCTTGCTGCAAAAAGAAGCTTCTGTGTCAAATTGGTGTAAAGAGAGCAGAAGAAACTGCTCAGTGGTCAAGCCCAAGGCTGGGGCAAGATTTCTCACATCAGCTTCAGTGAGAAGATTGGAGAATGTGGTTACCTGGTTACAGAAAACATATTCATTGATTTTGCAAGGTAAATTGGTAGAGATAAGACATTAAATCAAGTACACATTGCTTAAAATCTTTAACAAGAATATGCATTGGTAAACTTCTACAAAAGTAAACATTACCTCCAAGAATCTGTTCTTGTCCTGTTCATTTTTGTTCAGATGGTTGTCTAATAGGTCTCTGAGAGATTGATGGCTTTGCTGATGAAAATACATTCTCTGAAGTGTGTCTTTCTCCTGATTTCCAAATTCTGAATACTTTAATCTAAGTACTGAGTCTGGTGAGGCACAATTCAAGAGAAGGCTTTTGGCCATTTCATAGACTTGCTCTTCCTCATCCATGGTTTTGTTTGAGTCCAAGCTGTCTCTTGCCTCAGTGTCAACAGCATCTTCATCATAGATTTTCACAAGTTCAGAAGCATCTCCAAGAGTCTCAATGTCTTCATAAACTTCTGCATCCTGTACCTTGTTGTCAACTTCCATTGAGGCACCTTCTCCTTCCATTTGCACCTCCTCCTCATCAAGGAATTTGTTCATTTCCTCTTGAGACTCTGTCACATCTTCATCTTCATCAATGTGATGAGCCTCACTTTCCTCTTTCTTCATGTATACATCCTTGGCCACATTAATATTAGAGCCTTCTTTACTTGGTTCACTGATTTCATTATCGCACTTGGGAATGCAATGGAGCTCATTGTTTTGAGCAGCTTTATCATGGCCCCATTTTTGTATTTTCTCTAAAGCCTGCAGAAGTGCACTGGCACAAGCATCCCCATGGAACCCAACAAAGGCATCTGATAAGCTGAATTTTGCTTCAGTGGATTGATGAACTTTTGAGAAGTCTTCTACCCACTGTTTGAGTTTTTCCAAAACTCTGTGCTGCCAGGGAGTCAAATCCGTACTCCTATCAACTTTGTGCTTCTCCAGTCTGTTTTTAAGTGGAACAGGAAACCTTTTGTAGACTTTTTCCTGGTCCTCCACCACAACCAGTCTGAAGTCTTTGTGAACTCGACACTTTACTCTATGAGAACCAAGTCCCAAGTCAACATAATTCTGTCCACTGAAGCAGACATAGTATTGATTCAAGGCATCATACAGGCTCTCATACAAATTGAGGAGATTCAATAGGATGACTGTTCGGCCTGTCTCCATGCATGCCTTTATTCTACTCACATTGTGACATATCTGGGCATACTCCTGGTCTTTGGGAAATCCTGATCCAAAGACAATTTCAGGGCATATATAGTTCTCCTTGGAGAAAATGTGGTGTTGGATAATGTACAAGGCAACATTGTTAGTTGTGAGCAAAAGAAGGTACCGGCACTCTTTGTCACTGTTGCGGTCAAGATTTTGCTCAATCATTTTCAGTGTACTTGGCCTTTGGACTTCAGTGTTCTGGAAGATGTCCCGAAAGTAATCAAGAGGATCAAAATCATCCCTTTGTCCACTGAAGTTTCTCAACACAGCCTCTGCCAACTCACTGTCAGATGGTTCTTGATCTGAACTGTTGACTGTTGCAAAAATCATTTTCACCAAGCTATAATAATCTCGGAGTCCAAAGAACTGTTCACCGTCAGTTTTACAGATATCTAGGTAGCCCTTTGCCAACTTTGGCAGGAGGTGCTTGATTTTGAGAAGAATGTTATGGGAGGATGAGCAGATTCCTTCGGCTGTCTCTACTAAGTCCTTCTCACTTGGGTCCCAACGGGACACAAAAATACCTCTGTTCATTTTTGCTGGATCGAGAGCCCAGTTTGAGATTCCAACAAATCCAACCTTCATATGTGGATCTGGGTTATCGCTGTCTATGCATCCATCCTCTAGAAGAGGATGCAATGTCTTCAGTGGCATCTGAGGAGAGTCCTCTGCAAGTCCTATTTCATCCAGAACAACTACTGACACATACTCATCAAAATTCTTGTCCTTTTGGAAACGGGCACAGTTCCGAAAGGTTCCAATGATTCCTTCAGGGCTTGAGTGAGGGCTGCATTGAAAAGACACCATGTGAACTTCCTTGAATTTCTTGAATAAGTCGCAGTGAGAGGCCTGGCGCTGCATTGCATCTGCTATAACAGTCTTAGCAAGCGATTTTGAGCTCCCTGGCTTGCCAACCAGAAAGAGTGGAATTCTCAACTCAATGCAGACCACCATGAGGAAGACATTTTCTTTCAAAGCCAGATTTTTGGCAATTGTATCTCTTGTTTGGATTTTCTCAAGAAAAAAGTCTTGGCATGAAGTTATCTCCTGCTCCAGTGACTCTTTGGAGTTGAATGGACAAGGAAAGCATTTGCTCATAGTTGCTAGGTATGTCCCTTTGTTTTCAAGTGATGGGTAATAGCAAACACCCATAGCAAGCACCAAGCACTTCAAAGTCATCAGCTCAGTTTCATTCCTGTGGCAACCAGGAAAAAGATCAACTCTGTGGTTGTAAAACCAAACTAGGACACACATTGATCTCTCCACATCCCTAAGACTTACAAAGCTGCATTCATCTGCTTGTCTGCGCATGTATCTTTGAGAGGCAGACAAAACTTTTGTGATCACTCTCTGGTATGCACGGGGCAATCCATGATCTCTCATTTGTTTCTGCACAATTTGACAGATATAAGAGAGCTCAGATGAATCACTTAATTGTCCAAAATCCCATACCAGGGGCACCATGCTCGGGGGTAAAGGGTGTACACGGTACACAAGCTGTCTCATGGGAACTTTACCAAGGCGGTCCTCTGTTTCTTCAGCTTTCACTCTGTATCCTAGCCCAGCACGCTCCAAGCGATCAATCATTCTGGGTGTGTGTCTTCTGTATGGATTGCAGGCAGCAATTATTTTCAGACCAGAATTTTTCTTCAAAGGGTACCCTTGTACAGCTTTGTCACATAGCACTTCCTTGATGGCGAATATTGCTTCGGTTGTGTTGGCTTCATCAAAAAACAAAACTGTGTCAAGTTCATATTTTTGACGGTTGTCCTGAGCAAGTTCTTCTGCTTCTCGCACCTTCCTATAGATTACCTCAGAAGTAGTACCTCCATGAACTTTGACTAGTTTCATGTTTTCAACATCTCTGCCTTCACGTTGCAGATCACAGAGAAAGCGTATAAGCCGCGTCTTCCCACAGCCAGTTTCTCCCATGATGATCACTGGAATCTCACATCGGAATCTCATATGAATAGCCAACATCTTCATGATATTGTCAGTAGTGAGTTCATATGTAGGGTCTGGATCAAATGTTCCTTTTTCCCAGCCTTTTTTGGCACCAACAACAAAGGAAACTTTTTGAATCTTGTCTTCCCTTGACAGGTCATCAAAGTTCTCAGAAAGCTTAATTCTTTGTCGCTCAATGTCTGAAAAGAGATCTTGTGTCATCACATTTCTCATTAACACTTTGCCACTTCTTGGATCAACTGCATTAAGAATTGTGCCAAATTTCTGCACATGGAATCCTAAGAAAGACATGGTGAAATGGTCTGCATTGAAAAAGATGTATGGGTGAGGTTCATTTTCCCATTGTTTTCGAATAGATAGTTTGGCTAGGATATCTTCCTCATTTTCGTTCTCAGAGAAAAAGGAGGGGCTCTCATCAGAGATGTCAATGGATGGAGAGGCAAAGTCTCGAGCCATGTGAATCATGAATTTTACTATGAAGTCCTTGAAGCCACTTAAATTGTCAGCAAGGAAGTTTGGATCACAGAACAAAGAATTCTCACAGTCTTTAAGCTGCAGGTTAAGAAACCAAGTAAAGTGCTTTAATTCTGCCCATGATGGGTCTTTTAGGCCGTAGTTTGATAAAAGATGATGGAGACAGTCAACCGGATCACCTTCTACAGACTGAGCTTGATATTTGAAACGGTCCATGTTCACATTCCTGTTGAATCTTCTCAAGTATTGGTAGGGTCTCTGAATGGCCTCACTTTTAAACTCTTCATTATCCATCAGTGGATTTAAGGATGTGTAACCCCCTTTTTTTCTCTTGATCTCTAAAGCTTTGACATCTTTAGGAGGTCTGCAGAAGATTGTAGGAAGTGCATGCAAAAACCCATTGGTTATCTGTAAAAAAAAAAACGGTTAATGCCTGTAGCTCAACAATTGTTCAAAGAACAAAAAGTTACCCAAATGGAAAAAGCAGGTTTGCACCTCAATCTGGGTTTGACTTTTTTGAACTTGCTGAAGTGCTTCAATCGCCATCAAGTGAGCTGCATTTCTCCTCCATATAGTTCCTTTGCTGTCACTAAGACATCCTAGAATAAGTAATTTGAATAGGAATTCCTCCAAGCCATGACGTAACTGATATAAAAAGAAATGTAGTGAAACAAATTATAAGTGACCCACAGTTAGTACTGTATATAATAGTGCATGTTATAGTATAGCATGTTTTTCATAAAACCTACTGCTGCAATATCAATGTGCAACAGCACAGGGTCCTGCTCTCTCAGTGGAGCTAGTCTTTCAGACAGGGTTTGGACAAATCCATCCATGTCAACGCAGGGCTCGATGAGTCTGATTGTAAGACAGGTGGCTGTTGGAAACTCTTTTTTGAACTGCTCAAATAGACGCTTGACATATAGTGACTTTCCTGCACCAATAATAGGAAAAAATGATAGAGAAATAGAAAAGAGTATCAGCATAATGTTTGGTAACAATTTCACCATACTGTATTTAACAACATGAAACGCAACCTATTTTACTTCCACAATGTGATACACTCAATGACAACTTTTTAGGAAACATAGATGGTTGGAGGAAAGGGATTTAAAAATCAGAGGGAATTATAGCATCAGCCCAGAAAATATGCAATTACAAAGCAAATTATTAATCAAAAACAAAAAAAAATGCATTAAAAAAGAGTAAATTTGGCTCATGTTGACTTAAATATACAAAAATCTAAAACATACCAACAGCTGGACGTTCAGATGAAATCATCCAGACGGAGAGTTGTCCTGGATAGACTTCTGAGTAGGGAACAAGCTCAGACGGGATACGAAAGTGATGGCGAAGAGAGTTTTTTATTCTTTCTGTAGATATACTCAGACCTGTTTGTACTTTATAGTTGCTGAAGAAGGAAGGAACATATCTATCCTGGTTTACAGGACAGACCATCACTAGACGGTAATGAGGCCCAGCACTCCTTTCTAGTGTCTCAAAGCATTCCACCAGTGCCACGCTCACATCATAAGCCAGTGAACCTGGATTGACCAGCGTGTATATCTTCTGATGATTGCTTGCAGTGCCTTGGGATCCTAGACATCGGCGGAGGAAAATCTCCACCTCCTCTTCAGTTGTCTCCTCCTGGCACATTAATACCTCATCAGTTGTTGGAAGAGGATGCTCTTGATTCTCTGTGTAAAAAGACAGAGTTGTGCTAATCAAGTCCACAACAGGGCACTGGACAAGGTTTGGCCTTCCCTCTTGTAGAATAGGAGGTATCTTGCGTTTGATGTGCATTTGATTCATGTCAGACAGATTGGAGAGGAATCGTCCAAGTGTTTCGAGATCCACATGGTGGGTAAGGAACCTGGACATGTTCTCTTTAAATTGCTGCCACAGGTCCTCTAAGCATTCAGTACCAACATCTAGCAAACTGAAGCTCAGAGGCAGGTCAAAATCACTGTTTTGTTCTGATTCCTCTGCCATGTCATCTTGCACCATAGATTCTGTCTCTGTTGCTTTTTCAAAGGCCTCTCGTATGTCATTTAAGTTACAATCTGGTTTAATAGGAGTCAAAAGATGCCACATTTGTTGTGGCACAGGTTTCCTTTTGATGCTAATGCTGTTGATCCATTCGCAAAGAAAAAATATTTGCTCTGAGGTGTAATGATTCAGTGCGTAGATCTGAGAGCGTGTCTTAGTTAAGTGGTTACACCAATCTTTATGAAAGTTCTCCAGAGAGCGACACAGTTTTTGAAGCTCCTCTTCAACCTCACCATGATATACAACACACTTGCTCAACTGGGTGAAGCTAACTTGAATGCAGGGTTGATCTTGGTCGTTGCATGTTATCTGTGCCCCCCAGTTTCGAAAGAGCATATTGCCCGATGTGCGCAACTGAAGGAGGATGCGGCCCATCCTCTGGACTCCTTCAAAAACCTACAAGATGAAAACAGAGATAAGTCTCCACAAAACTAACGCCAATTTCTTTGAATAATCTGATGCAAATATAGAGCTCTTAATGGGAACTTTATGTTTTTCAGACATCAAAAGTTTAATATTTCTTGGCTGGTGGACAATTGTGATAATGGACCTACTTGAGTAAACTTGTTGACTTGCTCCCTTCCATGCTCCCCTTTAGAAGACATCAGCATGAGCTTATTCTGTAGCTCTAGGAGTTCATTAAGATTGTATGTCTTTTCTTGTTCATTCTTTGTCACCTTCACGCAAAATACATTGTCCAAACCTGACTACAAACATATCACAACAAGACACTGTTATTTTACTAAACAGATGTTCACAAACTTACCTATCGCACAGCATGTCTGCTTAATGGAATATTTTAACTGATTTAAAGAAACATTTTTGTGGAAATGTTTTGAAAAAAAAGTCTGAAATTAAGCATAATTTTTATACTAGTATCTACTCACTTTCCCATTGAAATCTTCAGGCCAGCCCACATGATATACGCCTCCAGTGTTGATATCTGAGGCCATGGACAAAGACGATTGCTCAACAGAGCCATAAGTCTCCCTTAAACCTTTCAGCCAATCCAACCACCGCCTGGAGTCTACCTGTATACAAGATTTAAATTTAAAGTCTTAAATTGAATTAAAAAGAAGCATAATTCAACACCTATTAAATGGAACATTAGAGGTGTACAGAACAATTTAAATTAAATTATTGTATTAGTTAATTGTTTGCAGAAACTAACCAATTTATCCACGAGTTTCTTATCTTTGTCAAAGATGTCCAATACTTGCTTAGCACAGTCAATAAACTCTTCAAATCCTGCATTTTTTGGTAGTGAGTAAAGCAAAGGGCCATAGCCCATCACAACAGTCTCGAAACTGGCTAGCCTATCAGTGTCTGCATCATTCTCCCCAGCAGAAATTGAGGCCAGTTCCATAAAGGTTTTCAAGTCTCTTAAACCTAGATGAAACATATTAAATATGAAGATTTATTTCCACACTACAACACTATAAAACAGATAAATCCCCCAAAAAATTCTTACTTGGAATTTGCGTTTTGACCCATTTGATCAGAGTATCACTTTCCAAGAAAGCCTTCAAACAGGCTGTGTGCTGGCATTTGACATCTGCCAGTTTTTGCCTGGCTCTGATGAGGACATCACTCAGCGAACCCAGAGTGTTTTGTTTGAAGGAGTCATCTCTCTATATATAGAAGAATAAAATGTTCACAAATCGAAACAAACATACATACATGCTTAATATAATACAATCACAATAATGACTGGTTTATTACCACTTGAATCAGGCTATGAATATGGCTGAAGTCTCCTTGTAATTCCAAGTTATCTTTGATTTTCAGTATGACCTCAGCAGATTCCGCAGCATGGTGAAGGCGTCTGTATTCCTGAATCTGGCTGAGCCGATCCTCTGGCCAGTTTACATTCAGAAATGTATGGCTTTTCAGCATAGTTGCCATCAAAGTAAGCTCTTTCTTTAAACGATCTCCTTCACCCCTGTCCCCACACCATTTCAAAGCTTGGTCCACCTCTTCAAAAGAACTTGCTCCAACTGCAATCCGTAGACCAAGGTTGAGGAAGTTAGTGAGACAAGGTTTCCAGATTCTGTCATGGACGTCCGTAAGGTCTAGTGACAAAAGCTGAGAACCAGGCATAAAATATTCGGTTGCCTTTTCTAGCCATAAAGACAGAAGAAGGTCGCTGGTCTTCACTTCATGCATCTCCCGTGCCATGACTTGCAGATCAACATTGTAGAATAACACTCGCCTTGTGTTGTTTTTGTCAAGATCCTCTTTGGAGAAATATGTCTGCACTTCCACCAGTTTGTCCAGAGTTACCATCTGCAGGTTGGTTTTGACCATGTCTTCTAGGGAAGAAACCTCTGGTACTGAGGCAAAATTAGGATATTTTTAAAATATATATATATAACATTATAATTTTATCTAAATCTTCAGAGAGCTTCATGAAAGACTTGACAAATGTTTTTATGTTTAATGCAGTTAGTGTAAATATGTTTACAGAATTCTCATTCTCATAGTCTCATTTAGAAATCATGACATTAATCATGATGTTTTTTATTCTATTGACAGCTTTAATTTTTAACAATAATAAAAAACAAATCTAAATTTTATTTTATTACACTCAATCCCATACAAATCATTCCACAACTACAAAGAAGAATTAACAAAACCAAAAATGACTATTTTATGGATCCAGTCACTTATCAAGTTTTCTGACCTAAAAAAAATTGGTATTGTACAAAGACATTTGAATCTAAAAGACACAAACTGACCTCTTGGTGTAATTCAAAGAACATCAAACAGTGTCTAAAGAAGTTTCACATTCTTAAAATCTAGCATAACCTTTAAGTTGATCGGTTGTATTGATTACTACACCTGTATTTCTTTAGGGTAAGCAAATTTAGATGACTCCATCAGAGGATTGTGTAGCAGCCCATCTCTCCATTTACTGAAATCCATTTGAGTACACACACACACACACACACACACACACACACATTTATTACTTACCTACACTGTCAACTGTCTACGCCAGGTAATGCAACAATATAAATGCCAATTATTTAGTTTTGGAAAAAGCAAGTTGTATTTATAATATCACACTTATTATTTTTCAGACACAGTATAAATGGGTCTTTCATCTTAAAAGTTTAGGAAGAGGTCCCTCACAAGGGGTTCATAATATTTGGGGGTCCTTGGTATCAAAACATTTGAAAACCCCTGTCCAAAGGTAAATTCCTTACCATCTACAACATCAGTAATCTTCCCCAGCATATTAATAAGGTTGGTCATGAACTTCTTCTGTTGTTCAAAGGCTTTTAAGTCATCTTCTCTTTGACTGAGTAGCTCTGACACATCGATTGAGATATTCTCTTCTTTGTTGTTCTTCTTATCTAATGTCAAAATAAACAAAATGATGAATAAGCTTGTGCCTAAAGAGACCTCTATAAGTTGTAATGATACAAAGTGCATAACACTTACGCTGGTTGTAAAGCTTCTGAAATTGACTTTTAGACTTAAAGACGGTCTTAAGGTGGCCCAGAGGTATATTTCCCTGGCAAAGGGACTGAATTAGAGAACGTAAGAATGATTGACTATCTGCTATTAAACGACTGGCATCATCTTCCAACTTCCACTGATTTCCATTCCATTTATCTGTGAAAATTCAACATAATCCATGTTAATGAACAACTGCTGCCCATAATGTATTTATGTATATACACGATGGATTCTTAAACTGTGTCCAGGTTTTCTTTCTCTGACTATTCACTTTGTTGTTAAGTCATGTTAAATTCATGAAACTTGTAAGACCCAGTCACTGCACCTTGAGATAAGAGGAAGTTTATTGCTGATTGCGGGTCCAGTAGACGACCTTCATGATCCTCTCCAAAACAAGCTGCTGACTCCACAATAATGGAGGACATGACAGGCCATGAAATGAACTTGGTAAAGAGATGACGTAAAAGGTCTCCTTCCTTCTTTGCCTGCAGCAAAAAGAAAATACAAAAAGATATTTACAAGGTGTACAAGTAAATACAAATACATTAATCTAACTAACTTTCAGTAAAGAGAAAATAAGGGAGCAGTCAGACATACATCAATACTGCAAAACTGAAAAATAATTCAGCATGAAAGATGACATTACCTGACACTGTTTCTTAATAGCAGTCTGACAAAACTCTTTGAAACAAGACTGAAGGTTTGCATGACTATTCTCAATAGCCTTTGCTGACGTCTCCAGACTGCATGCAACAATCTTGTCAGTGTCAGAGATCTAAAAAATAAAAGGAGGATGGCGGTATACATTATGTACAGTTCCAATGTATATGCTTCTAAAATAAGGCTTATACCTTACCTGGGACACTCTTCTTTTCAGGTCTCGGTCTAATAAACCCTTCCAGCTTTCAGAGACGCCTGGTATTGAACACTCAATCCCATACAAATCATTCCACAACTACAAAGAAGAATTAACAAAACCAAAAATTATTATTTTATAGATCCAGTCACCTATCAAGTTTTCTGACTTAAAAAAAATTGGTATTGTACAAAGACATTTGACTGATAAAGAATCTAAAAGACACAAATTGACCTCTTGGTATAATTCAAAGAACATCAAACAGTGTCTAAAGAAGTTTCACATTCTTAAAATCTAGCATAACCTTTAAGTTGATCGGTTGTATTGATTACTACACCTGCATTTCTTTAGGGTAAGCAAATTTAGACGACTCCATCAGAGGATTGTGTAGCAGCCCATCTCTCCATTTACTGAAATCCATTTGAATTTCATTAAGCATGGACAAGAGCTGATTTTGCTTTTGTTTCATTTCCTCCCCACCCTGCAAAATAAAATAATTTGCTTACAAATACCACCCTTAAAATGACTTTCATGAAGATATCAATGATACAGTACCTTTGAAAAATAATCATTTTCAGCTGTTTTAAGTAGGAGTTTGAATGAGAGCACTGTGACCCTGTATTGTGGGACAAGTCGAGTGATTTTGCAAACACTCTTGTGAACATTTCTGCAATGCCAAAGGATTAGGCCAGATAACTTGGACTCCGTGATTCTGTGATTAAAGAAATTCTGCATTAATACCTGCCTAACTTAAGCATGGACAAGAGCTGATTTTGCTTTTGTTTCATTTCCTCCCCACCCTGCAAAATAAAATAATTTGCTTACAAATACCACCCTTAAAATGACTTTCATGAAGATATCAATGATACAGTACCTTTGAAAAATAATCATGAAGAATTTCAGCCGTTTTAAGTAGGAGTTTGAATGAGAGCACTGTGACCCTGTATTGTGGGACAAGTCGAGTGATTTTGCAAACACTCTTGTGAACATTTCTGCAATGCCAAAGGATTAGGCCAGATAACTTGGACTCCGTGATTCTGTGATTAAAGAAATTCTGCATTAATACCTGCCTAATATCAAAGTTTTAAGAACAAGCTTACTATGTTTAATAAATACCACATTTAATAAACTTGCACACCGTTCTCTGTCCTCCTCAACCCTCTTCAACAAGAGGTTCAGAACCTTTTCAGTTGCCTGCAATTTAATAAAGCACACATTTGTTGGTATGAAAATGTTCTCTCTGTGCCAAATGCAAAACGTGTAGAGCAAGCTTTGTGCCTTTAATCAGGTACCTCCAGGTTTTTTTCTGTGCAGTTGTGATCAGTGTTTTGTTCAGCTTCCTTCATTCTATACATCAGGCTCTGGATCAGGAGTTCAGGAACAATTCCTGTCAACTGGACAAACTCGGGGACATCCTCAAAAGCCACCATGGAAAGCCAGCTTTTTAACAAGTAAGGATTATCCTTGGTCATTGATGAGTGATCTTTGATCAGCTTAAGGACCATCCTACAATTTCAGAAACAACACATGTAATATATAGCCTATTTATATTCAAGTCATAAAAAATTGTGAATGAAAAATGAGCTCTAAAAGTACTTGGACAAACCTCCTTTTGTCAGGGACTCCTCTAATTCTCTCCCTAAAAGATAAACACTCTGCGTGTTCAAGCCCTGCCCATTTCTGTTCATTCATATTCGAGTCTGGATCTGACATTGCTCCTGGCTTTCTCAATAAATGAAGGACAGGAACAAGTAACACCACTTCTGAGATCAGCTTCCTTGCACATTGATTCATCAGTCCCGTCACAGTGCTGCAAAGACACCAAAATTATGATGATATTGTGGTGTCTTTTAAGACGTACACAAGTCATTATGTAAAACAATAACAACTATTCAGTAGGCAAGGCTTTGCTTTATAGTGTGCATTAGGGGACACGGATAAAATCATATTATTTCATAAACTTATCTGAAACTACCAATTTGTCCAATAAACCTTACTCACAAGTCAATTAATGGAAGGGTTGTTAGGGTTGTTTGCACTTCTCCAAGAGAAGCAGTCCTTTCAGAGACTACTTGGCAAAGTTTGCCCCAGTCCTTTGTGTCGAGATCCACACCACAGCCACAGCACACCTGGAACACCGAGAGGGCCACCTCTAGTGATCTGATCCCAGACGAGCTCTCTGAAGGTTTCCCTCCAGATCCTCCTTTCAAATTCATACTCAGTCTACTAGTAATCAGTTCTGAGACCTAAAACAAAGAGGGCAGAGCTATAATTCTTCCTCTCTGTTAGGATAGTCTTTCGAAAATGGAATGAAGAAAGCCACACCTACTTCTATTTGAGAAGGGGAAGGATGCTCTGGAAATTTCAAACGTCTCATGACTGACTGAAAACCTTGTTTGTAACTGTTTAGGTGTTGGATAAGTGTCTTGTTGTCTTCATCATTAAATGACCCCCATTTCTTAAACACTCTGTCCAGCAGTGCATGTGCAGAGGTCTCCCAGCGTTTGCAAATTTCTTCTTGTGCATTCCGAAAGATCCAGTCTGTCACCCGTTCTTTAACAGATCTTGAACTTGAACTTATGTAACCTTCATAAAGGTGCAGTTCTTGAGAGGAAACAACACAGATCAGGCATTACATCACATACAATGTACAATGATTTACCAAAAAAAAAACTTATGTAACACATTCAGTACCTTTTACTGTATTTTCAGTGGGGACATAAACATGTCTTAATGCTGTTTCCATAATGGTGCCATTTTGTTTCTGAACTGCATATCTGTATTCTATTGGAACACCCCTGTCAATGCCTTGCCAAAGTGAAAATGTTGCTTCAATCAAATAGCCTTCCTGTTGTAGACCCCTAAGCAAAAATAAATGACATTAAAGTAAAAAACACTTTACAACACAAAGATCACATAACTTTTACATGTTATAGTACAATTAAAATTGTATTTGCTACCTATAGGCTATAATATAGACAAATATGTTATCATTGTACATTAATGAGAGACTTACCAAAAATATGTAATCTGTAGTTCAAAGACTTCATTCCCTTGAAGGAGCAAAAGAGAGTCATGCTGTCTGTCAAATCTGAATTTTTTGTCCAGAACAGCATAAATGTAGAAAGTGAACACTGGCTGTTCGGCTGGAGCCCTCACTGGGGAAGGTTTTCTATGGAAATAATATTATTATTATTAGAGGTCATATTCTGTATCTATTTAGGTTAAATGTTTGATTTGATAAGTGCATTATATTATAATTTTGCAAACCTTCTTTTGCTATTGTCTTGAACTGTTGCTGTCTGATTCCTCTGCTCCTTAGACTGTTCAGTCTTTCCCGCCCCAGCAGCTGCTGCGTACGATTTTGGTTCTTCTGTTATTGACTTGAGTTTAGTGCCCTTTTGTGAATCTCCTTCCGAACATTCTTTATTTGCAACTTTGTCTTTCTGATCGTCTCCATCTTGTTTTCTGCAACCATCTGATAGTTTGGTCCTTTCTTTTGTCTCCTCTGTAGGTTCCCTTGTTTCACCCACTTTCCTTTTCTTCCTCTCAGCACTTTCATCCTTTTCTCCATCACTTTCATTTCCTTTGTTCCTTGACAGGCCAGTTTCCACCTCCATCTTAACATCTTCAGGACCGAGTTCTGTTGACACTTCTGTGGTCTCAGTGTTGCCATTGAGCTCTGTTTGTGTCTGTTGTGTTGCCTGACTAACGGTCTCCGTCTGAGTCTCCTTGTTTTCCAGCCCACTTGGGCTTGTTTGAGTCTGAGCATCTTTACTCAGCGGTTCAGACTCTGTTGTGCCCGTGCTGTGCCCTCCATGGTCTCTGGATCTGGATGGGCTTGGGTGACCAGTATGCTTGCATTTCGTTTGGCTCTGCGAACGTGTTCTGGATGATGATGTCCTACCATCTCTTTTTTGGGCCACCTTCTTCTGTGCACCTGCCTTTCCTTTCTCTCCACTCTTTCTCTTCCTTGTCATTTTCTATCGTCTCACAGCTTGTGGCTTCCTGGTTGTTGCAAAAGAGGTTCAAGTGTCAAAGATTCTCGAAGATAAATATTTTATAAGTATGTATAATATATAAAAATAAACATAATTGTATGCATTTTTGTTTTACTATTGGCCTACTGCCATTAATCAGAAGTGAGGGAGGTAGTGCTGTAGCTGCAGTGCTGTTTTTTTATATCATATGTCATAGTCTGCTTTACAGAAACCACAGTCTAACCATGTTAAGGAGCCAACCACGATTTTACCTATGGTTATTATGGTCTTATTGCGAAAACTACAGTTAAAATATGATTATTATACAACGACTACGGAAACTTTTCATATGGGATCACAGAATATTGCATTGCCTGAATGACTGCAACGACATATCTTCTAAAATTCATAATAAGGTTTTATGTTTTTCCTCAGCTCAAAACTTAAATAACCATAACTCATAACCATCTCTGCTCATCAATAACAACCTCCTCATAACTTCTCTTAGGTTTCCTTTATCAGAAATAACACTGCCTCACACATTTCCCGAAAAGAGAAATCTAAAAAAAAGTGTCTAAATACAGTTAAATGAGGACAAATTTGAGTGAAATACAGAATTCAAAACAGCACATTAGAAAAAATAGATGAATCATAAACCTCGTTTGCAACAAAACGAGTGTCTACAATATTAACAACAAAATAGGCCTACATTATGACTTACCTGAATTGACCCTTGGCATTGTAAAAAGATGACACATACATGTTTTGGAGAGTCACTCTCCCTGAATAGTCAGCACTCCTGTCAGCAAACCGTTCTATTCGTTGCAGTTCCCCTCAGCTCGGCTTCTTATTGCATTCGCTACACTTTCAGTTTCGTTTCACCAGTTGGTTTCTAGACACTGGCCGTTCCCTCTTTACAACTAACGAAAGCTTCACTCATGAATATTAATCTTATCCGTGAGCTGACGTTGCATGACCGTGCATAGTTTTATTTTATTACCAGGGCCTATATTTGAGATAGTTTAAACTATAATGTAGGGGAATAAGAATTATAATTAGGGTCGATACTTGGGGGAAAATAGTTCAAATTACCTCTTCATTCATATATATATACATATATATGGGATGGGAAAACACAGAGGATGTGAATACTCTGAACCCTACTGTAAATAGATTTATACAAACTGAGAAAGTCAAAAACCATTAGGATATTGTTGCTGTCTGATTCCTCTGCTCCTTAGACTGTTCAGTCTTTCCCGCCCCAGCAGCTGCTGCGTACGATTTTGGTTCTTCTGTTATTGACTTGAGTTTAGTGCCCTTTTGTGAATCTCCTTCCGAACATTCTTTATTTGCAACTTTGTCTTTCTGATCGTCTCCATCTTGTTTTCTGCAACCATCTGATAGTTTGGTCCTTTCTTTTGTCTCCTCTGTAGGTTCCCTTGTTTCACCCACTTTCCTTTTCTTCCTCTCAGCACTTTCATCCTTTTCTCCATCACTTTCATTTCCTTTGTTCCTTGACAGGCCAGTTTCCACCTCCATCTTAACATCTTCAGGACCGAGTTCTGTTGACACTTCTGTGGTCTCAGTGTTGCCATTGAGCTCTGTTTGTGTCTGTTGTGTTGCCTGACTAACGGTCTCCGTCTGAGTCTCCTTGTTTTCCAGCCCACTTGGGCTTGTTTGAGTCTGAGCATCTTTACTCAGCGGTTCAGACTCTGTTGTGCCCGTGCTGTGCCCTCCATGGTCTCTGGATCTGGATGGGCTTGGGTGACCAGTATGCTTGCATTTCGTTTGGCTCTGCGAACGTGTTCTGGATGATGATGTCCTACCATCTCTTTTTTGGGCCACCTTCTTCTGTGCACCTGCCTTTCCTTTCTCTCCACTCTTTCTCTTCCTTGTCATTTTCTATCGTCTCACAGCTTGTGGCTTCCTGGTTGTTGCAAAAGAGGTTCAAGTGTCAAAGATTCTCGAAGATAAATATTTTATAAGTATGTATAATATATAAAAATAAACATAATTGTATGCATTTTTGTTTTACTATTGGCCTACTGCCATTAATCAGAAGTGAGGGAGGTAGTGCTGTAGCTGCAGTGCTGTTTTTTTATATCATATGTCATAGTCTGCTTTACAGAAACCACAGTCTAACCATGTTAAGGAGCCAACCACGATTTTACCTATGGTTATTATGGTCTTATTGCGAAAACTACAGTTAAAATATGATTATTATACAACGACTACGGAAACTTTTCATATGGGATCACAGAATATTGCATTGCCTGAATGACTGCAACGACATATCTTCTAAAATTCATAATAAGGTTTTATGTTTTTCCTCAGCTCAAAACTTAAATAGCCATAACTCATAACCATCTCTGCTCATCAATAACAACCTCCTCATAACTTCTCTTAGGTTTCCTTTATCAGAAATAACACTGCCTCACACATTTCCCGAAAAGAGAAATCTAAAAAAAAGTGTCTAAATACAGTTAAATGAGGACAAATTTGAGTGAAATACAGAATTCAAAACAGCACATTAGAAAAAATAGATGAATCATAAACCTCGTTTGCAACAAAACGAGTGTCTACAATATTAACAACAAAATAGGCCTACATTATGACTTACCTGAATTGACCCTTGGCATTGTAAAAAGATGACACATACATGTTTTGGAGAGTCACTCTCCCTGAATAGTCAGCACTCCTGTCAGCAAACCGTTCTATTCGTTGCAGTTCCCCTCAGCTCGGCTTCTTATTGCATTCGCTACACTTTCAGTTTCGTTTCACCAGTTGGTTTCTAGACACTGGCCGTTCCCTCTTTACAACTAACGAAAGCTTCACTCATGAATATTAATCTTATCCGTGAGCTGACGTTGCATGACCGTGCATAGTTTTATTTTATTACTAGGGCCTATATTTGAGATAGTTTAAACTATAATGTAGGGGAATAAGAATTATTATTAGGGTCGATACTTGGGGGAAAATAGTTCAAATATATCACATTTAAAATAAGATATCACGGAACATTTATTTAACGATTTTTTTTTACTTACATGTTTATCTGTTTTATATGAAGATTTTATTTGCAAAAACAGGTAACTCCGTTTTTATTAATTTTCATAAATCTTTTTTATTGTGTGATCATGTTTATATTGTTTTATCGAGTTATTCAGGCATGTATTTTAATTTTTTTAGTTATTATTATTTAATCAAAACAACCCAACTGCAGTTTGATTGGTATTAACTGGAATGCAGGATAAAAAAAACAAACAACAACAAAAAACATGATTTTTGAATTTTTTTTAAAACGGAGTAATCTGTTTTTGCAAATTACCTCTTCATTCATATATATATACATATATATGGGATGGGAAAACACAGAGGATGTGAATACTCTGAACCCTACTGTAAATAGATTTATACAAACTGAGAAAGTCAAAAACCATTAGGATATGCCGCACTCTCTCCTATTATTTATTTTTATTATTATTGTTAAATTGTACTATTAAATTAACATTCTAGTAACTTATAATGTTACTGTAATATTTAATTATTACTATGACTGAAGGAATAGGTACCTTAAAAAGGATCAAGATGGGGCTCAGTTCCTGGGTTATTTCATGCTAAAAGGTGGATTAATATTTCATCCTCTCATCCACAAAAAGTGCTAATTTTAACATTAACCATCTTAACGACAGTACACTTCAGAAGAAATATTTCCATCATGTGCCAATATTTCATGCCAAGGTTTACATAATACAAAACAAAATGAAGTAGACCATTCAGCTTTGATGGTTTTTTAATGCTGTTCATTTTTGCATTAATTCAGGGGTATTTGTGTATATTATGTCTTAAAACTACAATAACTTGCACATGTAACACACTCATGAGTTTACAGTAAAAACAGAGATTAAAGGACACATTCATATTTCACATTTAATTTTCAAGCATGTCTTCAACTGATACTGAGTTGGTTTATGTATTATGGCTTATGCTAAAGTTATGTCTTAAAAAAAAGTAATCAGTAAACAGGTGGGCGGCAGCAAGTGTAATAATCTTGGATGATTTTGTCAATTTACTTTTGATTTAACTGATTTAAAGTCTGTTTGCAATTGGAGCTTTCTTATTTGGCATCTTTAGGATCCGTGTTCTGCTTGGATGCCTTTACACACACCACTTTCCTGCATGGGGACAAGAAACAACCTTAGAAACCATAGATGCAAAACCAGCCAAACTACATATCTTTTGTTGATTGGCTGGTATATACTGATGACTGCTAACATACTGATTCATGTCAAAATCATAGCATGCCTGACAGTCAAACAGTTAAGCTTTAAAATCTTATTAAGAGTGGAACCCAATCGCGTTAAACCTGAAAGCAAAACATCCCTGACCTTCTCTCTTTCTCCTCGTCCTTTATTTTCTTCTTCTCAGCTTCCACAGTCTCAAAAAACTCCCTCTCTGTATAGGCCAGAAGTTCCTCCATGTCATCTTTTCCTCCCTCATCCTCTACGGAGGAGCTATGTTTCATTTGATGCCTCTCTCTGTACTGACCTTCCAGAATCTTTTCTCTCTTGGTCTCACGTTCAAACATCTGAAATGAAGTAAAAATCCACTCCAACAGCTCAGTGTACATCAGAAGGAATCGTATCTCTTTATAGTTCACACAAAAATTGTAATGGTCATCATTTACTAAAATCTCATGTCAATATGAATTTTAAAGTGTGAATGTGTTTGCATATGAGAAGGAAGTTATGTTCATGTCTCACTTCTGAGACCAGGGCCTTCTCGTTCTTCTGCAGAGTGCACAGGTCTGGTGACATCTTCAGAAGTCTAACGGTTCCTAGCTGAGATCCACAGCACACCAAAGAGTCTTTATCTCGTACACGGATGCTGTACAGAGCTTCATCACAAACCTATGAGAAAAAGAAAAACTCGTAAACAGTATAAACAAATAATGATTTTATATTTAAATGGGAGACATTCTCAGTATGAGGAGATGTTTAGGTCTGACTTTGAGATTGAGAATGGGGTCCTTCGGTTTAAACAGTATGTCCCACACATCCAAGGTGCCGTCCATCTTCACCGTAAAGAAGACAGAGGGTCTGACTGGACTCCAACAGCCATCTAAGAGATAGGTCATGTGATATCTGTAGAAACAGTTTCTATGATTTTGTGATTCCAGGAGCTCTTTGTACGTTCTTCAGTTAAAAACAACAGTTAGTGAGGGAACATTTTTTTAAAAATATGATTTGATTTAATGTGTACTTTAGCCTTTTAATTCAGAGTTAGATTGTTTTGTATTAATAATAATGTATTCATTTAAATACTTTTTAAAGTATATCAATTTAAATAAATCATATAAATTTAAATAAAATTTTAAGTCATCCTGTGGCCCCCTAGGCCTCCTGGTTGGGAACCATTGACTTAAAATATAGTTGATCCAACTTTGCATCACAAACAATAAAATAAAACCCATCTGATTGGTATAATTGCTGCTCTGTCAGTATTGTATTTCAGAACAATAACAGTTTCTTACTTGGACGAAATGATGGAGGACTCTTTGATATCTTCTGACCAGATGCGGGCGGTCCAATCAGCAACAGTCAAGAAGTTCTTCGGAAAGAAGGGGTTCCTCTGGAGGGCATAAATGGGGCCATGGTGTCCGCTGTACATGCATACAATCGGATCATCTGTTGTCTCTAACTTGCGATTGCACGAGACCACAAGCCCCTGCTCTGTGCCCACCAGAAACTTGGCCTTTTGTAATCAAAAGCAAAAAAAAACTCTCAACATGAATTTCCACAATGGAATGAGACAAACAAAATGAGAGCTGCTCTTACCATACTGTTTTCAAACTCCATTGACACTGCACCAAGGGCATTTTCACGGTTTCCCTTCTTACTGGGATCCAGCACGAGCCGCTTGGTGGGCTCATTCATATTACGAATGTCCCAGAACAGTACCTGGTGTCAGATAGATACTTCTTTGAGTACAGTATGTAATCTGACTAATTTGAAGGGTTTCTTAGTATAGCGATCCATTCTGTGAAATATTGGTGATTATAAAACACTTATTTGAATGTTTTTGGACTGTTTTGCCACTGTACACAGACCTGACCATCTGTAGAAGCTGAGAAAGTTTCAGTGCCTATCTTTGTCTGCAGCCAGATGACCTTGTAGACAGGATCTTTATGGCTATGCTCAGTGGCGGACATCTGTACTGGCTGGCTGCCACTCCGAGTGTCCCAATAGCCTGGAAAGAAGGCAAACTCTCTGACTTGAGAACATTTGTGTACCGTTACGTAAATACATTTACAGCTGTGATTTCAAACATATATCTGTGATGTTTATAATCAATGGCAAACACATAGTAGACTGTAAGGAATTGAGCATCACTGAGATTCCACAAATTTGTCTGATGAATGGAAACAAGCACATCTCCCTATATAATCATTCATATGCAATTCATATTCACAATAAAAACCCACCGATCTGTCCATTGTAGCTTCCTCCAATAAGGATGTGAGTATCTTTGTGGTTGTACTCCAGACAAACAAGCGGAGATATAGGTTTCAGAGTCATCTCCGGTTTATTGCAAATTTCTGTAGATGAAAGGAAAAAATATATATTTACCAAATACATAAATAGTATCATCAATGAAACTGTGTATAACATACCAATGTTCCATATGTAGGAGTCAAAGCTCATATTTTTCGGCGCTCTCTGAAATTCCAAGCAAGAGTAGGCAACGGCTAGTTTATGATAATCAAGCGGGTGCCAGGACAAACTGGTGGCAGTGCGTTTTACTTTATTTGGGTCCCTAGAGAAAATCACATTGGATTTTGGTTAAAGTTGTGCCACATAAATCACACACTGCATCTACCTTTCTTTCTACTTATTTATTGATCCACCTATCCATCCGAGCCAAATCATGTGTACATTAGTTGTTCATCCTAATGTGCTCTAATAAGTGTGCCCACCTTAGCATACTGATGATTCTTGCTGATGGCTCGTACTCCATTTCCTGCACCCCCTTCTCATCTTTTAAATCTGGGAAACAATCTTCTGCATCTTTACACTGGTTGCAGTGTTCCATGACCTTCAGTTAACAAGAAGACAATCATTCATGAAGTGACTGTGTTTCTGAGGACTTGTGAGATTTAATAAGCAGTTCTGAAAAAGATGGGAGATAATAGCTGAAACCAAAGTCAAATTCAATCCAGTTATCTCACTCTCGTCTTAAAAGGATTTGTGCACCATAAAATGAAAAATCTGTCATTATATACTCTCACGTTGTTCCAAACCCATAAGAGTTTTTTTCTTCCATGGAGCATAAAGGAAGAAATTTGTACAGGATACTCTTGTCTATCCAATTCAAATGAATAGAGACAGCAGCTTTCAAGCTTTACAAGGATGCAAAATCTCCATAAAAGTATAAAAGAATGACAAATATATTGCATCTGTCTCATCAAATGGGTTTGAAAAAACATGAGGATGGGCAGATGTACAGTATTTTCATCTTTACCTGAACTATTCCTAAAATTTGCAGACATTTAAAGTAATGTAAACAAAATTCACTTTCTTTAAATCAAAGTCATGCTCTTTGCTCAAGAGAGGGGGGAAATCGCTCACCAAGCTTATTCTATCATTTAAGCACATTATTGCTCACTTTGCAGTGCCCGATATACTGCTCAAATGTTTATGGTGTGTTTATGGTGTTGGCACTCACGCTAGCAGTCTCCATAACCGTGTGCTGACAATGCTCATCCTTCAGATATTTCTTCTTGTAGCGGGCAGTCACCTCCGTGTCGTCTGCATTGATCATTTTTGCCCACCCCCCTTCTACATGGTTTATTCCTTGTGACACTTTTTCAAATGAAGTCATTGTGCTCACCTGAACAAACAGACATTTTCATGTTTTCATCATGTCTTAACATATTGCTTAAAAAAAAAATATATATATATATATAAAAAGGATGGAAATATATTTAGATTTTTTTTTATCACACTGACAATTAGATTGTCCTTGTTTAAGCATAAAAAAGAAAAGAAAAATGTTGATCAAAGTTGCTGTTGTCACCTCTGACATATCCTTGCTGAATTCTGTGTTTACTTCAGATCCACAGATCTCTTGCAGAGCAGGATCAGGTGGGATGTCCTCATGCTCCACATCACTTTCTGAAAAGTCACACGAGTGATCCATGTCCATTTTGAAAGCTAAAAAAGGAGAGGGACATGTACTGTAAATAGGATCTTAATGGAGGTGCATGAAGATACACATTAGAGGTACATTCATATTGTTTTCTTGTGAAAATAGTTTTAATTGGTAATCAATATGTACGTTTTTCTTCTGTCCTCACTATCTTTCCATCCTGAGAGTCTTTTGTGATATCTCTTTAATATCATCATCCTACATTCTTTTTTCGCTGTATAATACATAAATAAATATCATAAAAATAAAATAAATCTGATTTATTGAAAAACAAACGTAAAAAACCAATCAAAATTAAGTTTGTTGACACCCTCACGTTGGTCAGTTTATATTCTCACTGGACAATAACTAACTTCTGCTCTTTATTTCCACAGAGTTTAGAGCAGGAATGACCCATAAAAACACACTGATAGCAAGACTGTCTGCTTTATTATTATGAACCACACTTACGAAACTCGAACGAAAGTTCAGTTGCTCCTGCAGTTCAAGAAACGCTGCCACTAGAGAGCGCCAAGCAGTTAACGTCTCAACGATGGCAAACAAGCTAGAATTAAAGCTGAAACGTAGTCTTATTTGTTAGTTTTTCCTCAAAACAATTCTGTAATAATCGAGATTTCAATAAAACCTATCCTCTTATATAAAAAAAATAAAGATTAAAGTGTGAAAATCTGCTGCTGAGTTACCTTGCTAGAATGTGAAGAATCCAAATATAACGGACAAGGATAACGACAACGTCAGTGATTAAAAAAAAAAGGATAAAACGCTCCCAAAACGAGTTCTATCTCCTGTATAATTGTGTGTATTTAATATATTTTACGACGACGTAATAGCTATTATTCAATAAATTACAGTATTTTTGAACTTCCAATTCTAGAGAATACTTGTCTCATGAATATTAATTAGACCGTGCTGACGTCAGGTAGGTCTACTGCGCTGGACGTCACGTAACCTAATAAATTCATATTCATAAGTCAATTTATTACCATACTGTGAAAAATCTTTTATCAACCAAACAACGTTTGTAAAGCAGGAGGCACCACCGACCATTGTAAGAATAGTCTATAAAAATGTAATAATGCTGGAAAATGTATTCACAACTTGAAAACATGGAAAATGAACAGAAAGCAACAGAATATACAGAAAAGAATACAACAAATGCTTCTGATGAGATGATATAAGAAGCTGCCATTGCTCATCACATTATCCAAAAACAATTACAATTAATACTTTTTTTATTTTTAAAGCAGCAAAAGAAGAAAAAGCTTGATCTTGACCCATTGTGTATCATATTTTGTGGCTAAATGCTCCAAAAATCTTCACCCGATTTAAACAGAAGACATAAAGACAGACATAATCACTTGGTTTAATTTAAAAAAAAAATCTAGATACAACAATTAATGTACAATAAATCTGGTCTTATGCATATGGAAGATACCTGAATTAGTCCTAAACTTGTGAATTCTCAGGTTTCTTAATTCTTCGCACCACCACCCTATTCCTGCGTCCCTGTCTTGTGCCAGGCTCAGGTGGGGTTCCCTCTCCCTCAGGAGGTGGACGCTTCACTCGACGAGGTGAGTGACTTCTGCCGGTTCGTGCTTCATCCACAAATAACTCTATTCCCTCAAACTTAGTGGTCAGCTCTGCTAGTCTCTCTTTCAAGGAATTCAATTCCTTGTACAGGTCATTTAGAGCTTCAGATAATGGCTGAATCCTGAAAACACACACACATACACACACACATATGGTCAGCTATCCTTGTGGGGACTCTCCATAGGCGTAATGGTTTTTATACTGTACAAACTGTATTTTATATTGCTCTACCCCAACCCTACACCTAAACCTACCCCTCACAGGAAACTTTCTGCATTTTTACTTTCTCAAAAAAAGTCATTCTGTATGATTTATAAGCTTTTGTACCCATGGGGACCTCAATTTAGGTCCCCACCGTGACACGAGTCCCCATGAGTCTGTGTGTATTCAGGTTTAAGTCACCACACACACACACACATAAAATGGAGCAAGCACATACATTTATTTTCTTTTTTTTTTTTTTTTAAACATACCTTCCATAGTCTGGTAGCACTGTGCTGTGATCATTCAGAAGGAGGTCTTTGACTTGGGTCATGATGGCATATTTCCAGTTATCCAAGACTAAAGTGAGATTGGCGCATCCTCTCAAGTTCCCTTTCTCAGCTAAAACACGCACACAAACAAAAAATATGAAAATATTTTATTTTTATTATTTAAAAAAAAAAGTTTGTTAAACATTTACAGTTAATACATTTAAATATTTTATCATGGTATAATTATTCACAATATAACTTAAATGTGTTATAATTACATAACATTTCAAAAGCTTTTATAAAAAATTAAAATTTTTAAATATACATATGCAGTATTTTACCTTCAGCTTTGTAGTCCCACTCCACAGTCTGTCTTGCGCTCTTCTGAGCAGCTCCCAGTGAGAGCACAAAAAGTAACGGCAGGAGACAATTCATGACTCTGTACAACCAAATAAATTCAAACAGGATCACAAATTAAATTAAATCCGATGCTTAACAACTGACAATATGAAATATAAAAACAATTTGGGAGACCAGCATTTTATGACTATAATGATGTGCTTACCTGAGGCGTCTGATTATATGTCTCAAAAGCCAATTAAATAATGATAATAATGAAAAAACACACACCTTCAAATATCATTAAATATCAGCGTGTCTTTCTGGCTTTTATATTATCATTCCCACCTAATCCCACCCAGTGGTTGGGGCGGTGTCTGGAAGTGGAGTTAAATTTCAGTGTTTAACTCACCTTGTCACACTTTCTTTTGGAAGAAAAATTGCTTCTTTTTTTTTTTTAAATCAAGGACCCGTCTGTGGAGGTAGGTGTAAGGAGAGATAAAGTGCTGAATTAAGAGGACTAGATAGAATCCAGATGTGTCAGACTGAACTTCTGAGAGCTTCAGGTAAGATGTTTGAAGTCAAGTTCACTCTACCTCAGCATTCCAGCGACTCATCTGCCACACACATGAGGTCCTTCTGATTGCTGGAGGTGAAACTTCTTCAACCTTTACTTTAAGAATCATACAAACAAAAACTGACCTAGACATTTTTTTTTAAAACATACCGTAAAATCTTCACCCTCAGGATACACACATTTACGTGCTCAGTGCCAGGTTGGTTCATGAATGTGCAGTGGAGGCAGGACCACACAGCTGAAGAGGACTGCGGGAGAGTTGGGCCGCCCATGGCATAATCCAAAGATCCCGACGGCTGCCCTCCAACTGTGCCTGGGATTAACAAAAGAAACATGGTCGGCTAGTTTGAAAACCTATTGAAGAAATACTGAAAAACTGATGAAAAACAAGTTGAAACACTTAAATTACTAATTGGAAAAATCTACTAAAACTGAAAAAAAAATTAAACTTAAATAGTAGTATTAAAAAAATAATAACAAAAGAACAAAAAAAATGATGAAAATAAAAAAAATTAAATGAAGGTTGGTTCATGAAGGTGCAGTGGAGGCAGGACCACACAGCTGAAGAGGACTGCGGGAGAGTTGGGCCGCCCATGGCATAATCCAAAGATCCCGACGGCTGCCCTCCAACTGTGCCTGGGATTAACAAAAGAAACATGGTCGGCTAGTTTGAAAACCTATTGAAGAAATACTGAAAAACAAGTTGAAACACTTAAATTACTAATTGGAAAAATCTACTAAAACTGAAAAAAAAATTAAACTTAAATAGTAGTATTAAAAAAATAATAACAAAAGAACAAAAAAAATGTGGAAAATAAAAAAAATTAAATGAAACCATAAAAATGAAAGCTAATTCAAAATATCAATAAAAACATTAACATTATATAAATAATAGTAAAATAACACTGTTCAGGACTACTCACTGCAGAGCTGCTCGATTGTGGCCCACTGCTCAGATTTCTTCCAGGTTTGAGCCAGCTCCTCATTGGATGTCTTCACTGCATCCAGCAGAAGCCCAATGCTGTCCTGTAGACATCAAAGAAAAGGAGGTGAAGTTAGTTGTCAGGCAAAATACATATACAAACTCTTTATAAGATGAAATTAATACTTTATAAAAATAAAAAAAAATAGGTAAGTAGGTAAGTGGGAGAATATGATGTGTGGGTATATGTATATATATATATATATATATATATATATATATATATATATATATAAATAAATAAATTCAATGAAAAACTCACCTGTAAGGGCATGACCTCATTGGTGACTAGAAAGAGAAGTAGATGGAAGTCTGAGACGATGTCCAGGAAGGAGGAGGAGGAAGAACACTGGGAAAGATACGTCGCTAAACTGTGGAAGTCCTGCACACACACAAACAATTTTTAAGTACAGTAAAAACAGAATTAAATAGTTTTATGCTAATCTTTAACAAGAAAAGCTGTGAGACGTCCCCAGATATGATACAGATCTAAAACATCCTTCCTAGACCCTAAATGTGTACCTGGGTCTCTCCCAGAGCATCTCTGTTTTCGATGGGGAAGCGAAAAGTAGAGGAGAAAGTGAATACAGGGTCCTTTGGGAAAGTGGTGGTGATCTGAAAAAACAGAGGGTTAAATAGCAATAATAAACAAAAGACAAAGACAGTATTAAAACCCAATTGTTTACAGCCAGTTTAATGTCATGTACCATCTATTGGACATGGCTCTCTATTGGGCTTTAAAGACCAGCTATCCACTTATGTCTTTGCATCAAAGAGGACAAGATCTATATCTAGTAGTATAAAAACTACTTCCCTATACCATTGGCTTTTTGACTGAGATTTGTAGGCTGAAGGTCTAGATTTGATCAGTGCAAAAATATGTAGTTATAATAACATGACAACAACTCACGTCAATGATCAGGTACTCCACTGGCAGCGGTCGGGCTAAATATGTGATGTCATTGCCGAATTTGTCTTTGTCCTGGAGGTGAAGAAAAAGATTGGAAAATGTGAACCTTTTCATGCCTCACTGACAACTAATCCCATGCATTCCTGTGGAAGTAGTGACACTGATAAGAATGTTTATGCCCAAAGCAACAGAAATATTAACTTTCATTCCTTCTGTTTTATGAAATATGACACGCTCAAGTAAAAAGAAGTTTAGACTGTTTAGAAACATCAGTCAAACCCTGCAAGTGATATGATCAAGGTTATAATGACAAGCTGGAACAGAAATGAGAAAAGTTACACTTCTGTTTAAAAGTTCGGGGTCAAATACTTTTATTCAGCAAAGGTGGCATTATATTGCTAAAAAGTGACAGTAAAGACTTTTACATTACAAAAAAAAAATCAAATTAATGCTGTTCTTTTAAAATATATATATAAAAAGCACAAACATTGCAAGCATATGCAGCACAAGCATTTCCAACATTGATAGCACCAAATCAAAATGAATCAAGTTAGAATGAACTCTTTCAGATTTCTCAACACAGAAATAAATAACATTTTAAAATCTATTAACACAGAAACAGTTATTTTATACCATAACAATATTTCACAATATTAATGTTGTTTTTATTGTATTTTTGATCAAATAAATGCAGACTTGGTGAGCATAAGATGCGTCTTACCAACCTCAAATGTTTGAATGGTAGTGTATGTGCATGCATGCATCCATTATGCATATGTCTTTAGTAACATGCTGTGTGATTGATCATCTGTAATAGTAGTGTTTTAGTCCAGTACCTTATAGAAGACATCAGGGACGTATTGCTCTGTGCTGGACTCTTTGGCATAGCCCAGTTCAGGCACATCTTTGCAGGGCAGTAGACATTCATCCCTCACCAGAGCCATGCACTGATTGGACACTTGATACCCTTCAAAGTGCACCTGGTTATCGGGACCACCTGTCAATGCATAAAAAAAAGCTAGTCAAATCCATGATCTACTTTTCATGACACTACATTTTCTTTTAGCACTAAACCTGTTAAGTTTTTCCGGGTACCAATAAAATATTCTGTGCAAAAAATGTCATGAACTGAGACTGATTTATCGGCCTTGAACAAAATACCACACAGGCTTTTGACACAACCACATGCCTTAATTTATCACCACACTGGATAACCGAACAGCAGCAGTAAATCTTGAGCAAAGGAGGAAGCTGCATACCCGTTGCCACCACTGTGACAAACTTGGATCCAAAATGGCCATCCGGGGAAAGCCGACAAGCGTTGGCATGTTGGTTCTGGAAGTGTCCAGCTGTGATGCACTCCTCTGCACTCAGGAAGTATGAATCCTAAACAGGTGGCATAAATCCACTTGGTTAATAATGATCTCCGAACTCACCGTGTAGTTAGTTAAATGCTCATCTTCTTTTCCCAATTCACCTTGTTTCTGGTGTAGCGGACTGTGCCTATCCTAGTGTCCTCTGACAGAAGATCTGTGAAAATCCACCCCACCTGAAAAAAATAGCCAATATTACAAATTAAAAACAGCTTTACATTTTCTACATTTGGAAGCTGTTCCACATGCTTAGGCAGTAACAAGGGTCATAACTGATCAGGTCACTTCGATCATGCACCAGACAGTAATTTTGAAAGTATCATATGGAAGCCATAGATGTGTGAAGAGAAAGGAACTCTAAGAATCCCATCAGAGAGCTTCATGGGATGGATGACTACACTAGGTACGGCAGATCTACACCAAAACTATTCAGTCTCTCACTGGAATAAAAATATATATTTAAAATGTTATTTCTTTGATAAACCACAGTTTACTTATCCCGGACAAGCCCCCGATTTTTAAGAGGCATGGAAAAAGACTCACCTTCCGCAGGCCTAGTTTTGCAGCAATCTCCTCAACTGCTTCTGCCTTGGGATCTTCAATCAACTCCAAGCTGTTCTGGGTTCCAATCTGAGTCAAAGCACACAGGTGGAAAGGAAAAGTACTTGACTCTTTTGAATAAAATAGTTCTATACATGCATGATGCGCAAGAATCTACAGCAATGCAATTTATACAACTTTAGTCATCGTTAGGGGGCAATTTGGATTAAATGGCAGACATAGTCAGTGAACTCTAACATTGTATTCCAGATCAAATTGTATCATTGGTTTGAATTAAATTCATTCATATGAACAGAAACCTCTGGAATTAAAGTATTCAATTATATATTATTATTTTATTAAATTATTTTAATATATTGCCACTCCTAGTTTCCTTAAAATTGGAAAGAGAGTACTGTCGTCATTTAAGCAGAAACAACAGAAATATCTTCTGACAAGGGGCCTTGAAACAAAAAAGTTTGAAAACTGCTGCCCTAAATGTTAGTCTTTCATTGCCCTCTTGTGTTTATCTGCTATCATTGCTTAAAGAATAAAAGCTTAGAGAATCAATCACTCAAAGTTATGAAAACTTACTTAATGCTACTGTTTTATTTGAAGTAGTGTCCTCTGACAGAAGATCTGTGAAAATCCACCCCACCTGAAAAAAATAGCCAATATTACAAATTAAAAACAGCTTTACATTTTCTACATTTGGAAGCTGTTCCACATGCTTAGGCAGTAACAAGGGTCATAACTGATCAGGTCACTTCGATCATGCACCAGACAGTAATTTTGAAAGTATCATATGGAAGCCATAGATGTGTGAAGAGAAAGGAACTCTAAGAATCCCATCAGAGAGCTTCATGGGATGGATGACTACACTAGGTACGGCAGATCTACACCAAAACTATTCAGTCTCTCACTGGAATAAAAATATATATTTAAAATGTTATTTCTTTGATAAACCACAGTTTACTTATCCCGGACAAGCCCCCGATTTTTAAGAGGCATGGAAAAAGACTCACCTTCCGCAGGCCTAGTTTTGCAGCAATCTCCTCAACTGCTTCTGCCTTGGGATCTTCAATCAACTCCAAGCTGTTCTGGGTTCCAATCTGAGTCAAAGCACACAGGTGGAAAGGAAAAGTACTTGACTCTTTTGAATAAAATAGTTCTATACATGCATGATGCGCAAGAATCTACAGCAATGCAATTTATACAACTTTAGTCATCGTTAGGGGGCAATTTGGATTAAATGGCAGACATAGTCAGTGAACTCTAACATTGTATTCCAGATCAAATTGTATCATTGGTTTGAATTAAATTCATTCATATGAACAGAAACCTCTGGAATTAAAGTATTCAATTATATATTATTATTTTATTAAATTATTTTAATATATTGCCACTCCTAGTTTCCTTAAAATTGGAAAGAGAGTACTGTCGTCATTTAAGCAGAAACAACAGAAATATCTTCTGACAAGGGGCCTTGAAACAAAAAAGTTTGAAAACTGCTGCCCTAAATGTTAGTCTTTCATTGCCCTCTTGTGTTTATCTGCTATCATTGCTTAAAGAATAAAAGCTTAGAGAATCAATCACTCAAAGTTATGAAAACTTACTTAATGCTACTGTTTTATTTGAAGTAAAAAAAAAAATGCTGGGCCCCTGATTGTGTGTCAGAGCTGAGTCTCTCACCTGAGGCGGCTCATAAATGGCGGCAACCTCTGCTCGAATGCCGAGAGGGATGTCTTTGTGCTCGGTGTAGCGTCCATACAGGTAGCCCATCCGCTGATTACCCGTCTTCCTCCAGAAGTCGAGGAAACGGTCCGCAATGGTGTGATTCTCAAACATGATGTTGTCCACATGTCGATATTTCTGCAGTTTCATCAGATCAAAACAGATAGAAATATGACACTGCCCCTCAGGGAGCGCTCATTCACTTGCCCGAGCAGGAAACAAAGAAGCAGCGGGTTCATTTTTAAAGCAAGAAATTGATTAGTGAACAGTTTGTTTGTATGTAATGTAAGAGTTAGATGAAAGTAAAGATGTTTATGATGCAGACTGAGAGGAGTTGTGTACCTACCTGTCTGTTGAGAGTGATGGCGCTGGGTTGGCACTTGGTACAGATGCCCTCTGGCCAGGGCGGATGCCCCTCACAGCCAGATTTAATCTTACAGCTGATATTCTCAAGCGCCACAAACTTCCCCCTGAGAGACAGGAAAACTTTATTAAATCACTCTATTCCCACAAGTTTATTTAAGTGAGAGTAGAGAGCTCTCAAAAGCACTAACTTGTCTGCTCCGCCGGTGAGTTTCCGGATGTAGGCGTGAAAGGACATGTGCTTGACCGGTGGGTCGAGGTGGTTCAGATAGTCTTCATCAAAAGGCTATTGAAACAGAAAATGAAAGATGAGATGGCAACTTTTGTGCCATGCAGCAATTATATTTTACAAAATAAACAAATACATTTCCATGACCTTCCATGAGGATTTTAATTATTTTCCATAACTCTCCCAGGTCTAGATATCGCACTTTTAAAAATCCCTCACATATCCAAGTTTTCTGTGACTGTGTATAAATAAAAATGATAGTTAAGGCAACAAATTTTTATGTTGTTTCCAACATGGTTTTTAGCTGTATTAGCTTATTTTAAATCATTTTAAGTCTCGAGAGTTTACTGAAGTGCCTTGGTTGAGAACCACTGGGTGAGACCCGTCAGTATTCTTGTGTTCCAAGGGGAGGATCACAAGTTCTTACCTCTAATGGTACGCAGTGCACACATTTCCCCATGAGACCGTGCCGGCACCTGAGAAACAATGACAAAGATTGCTTTATAAACATATAAAAATATGTCTAAAATACTCTGTAGTTCTCATATTGCAATGAATTATTCAGTAGGTTGCATTATGCAGTACCTCCAATCTATGGCATGAAAATAACTTCAAGGTTTTGGGAATATATGCTATAAAAACTGTTTCCAATGCAGTGTGGAAAGTGAGGCAGACTTACAGCTGGGGGTCTCGGTTTCTGTAGATCTTTCCCTCTTGTTTGGACAGATACTGGTCAATCTCGTCCTCTTGGATCTGTGGTGCAGAGTGTGAACGTGATAAGGAAGACGATGATGAAGAGGATGAAGGGAAGGAAGGGTAGGAAGAAGAAGTATGAGGCTGAGCTGTGTCCATGTTCTCACTGGAGGGTCCAGCTGAGGATGGGAAAAGAAAGAGCATGTCGCCATGCCTAAAAGACAGAGGAAAAACAACTCAGTTATGTTTATGCATGTAAACACACAACGTGCACAACTGAGTAAAGACAATCTGTCACAACAGCACACTTACTTGACTTTCAGCAGACTGAGGGTCTTGTTCTGTGACAGGATCTCTCCAGTCTTGTTCCGGTTCAGGTAAATAGAGAAACCATTTGAACTGAAGCCAAACTCTTTGGCAACCTGGCAAGAATGTAGCAAAGGATGTCAGAAACAAGAGGCTGACCAGTCTTTCATTTTGTTCCTGGAAATGATGGATCTAACATTACTGCTGCAATTGGACATTCCTTGTCCATTTCTCTTATCCCTGTTTTGGAGCATCCACTAATAAGCTGATAAAATATAGATATGTTAAATAATACAGACATTCAAAATGTGTAAAGACTGTTTGCCTTTCAGAGATTGCTCAAACTCTAATGAAGTTATGAGAGTACGGTGCATGAGAGAAAGAGGAAAAGAAAATATTTGAGATGATGGTGCAAGAAAAAAAAAAAAGATTATACACTCCTCATTTTCAAACACTTTATACATATGCAATGGAAAATCTATTAATCAATTATTAAGCTACTGAATCTAGTGGAAAGTCTACTAATAGAATGTACACAGGAAAACAAAGCATCTTTCAAAGATGTGATGCCACTGACATAGCAAATCCAGTCCTTAAATTCTTCATCTAAAAGCAACTACACTACACTCACTTATAACTCATTTCATAGGACACCTGTCCAAAGTGAACTCATTCGTAGCTCGACAGGCTGTTCCGAATTTAAACTAGATATAATTAACTATGAGGTGGTTCTGGTAACAAATTGAGAACAGTACTCTAAAAAAGTGCAGTCTCAGAAACAAATTGATCCATCATGTCCAAATGACTGTCCATTAGGCAACCGAAAACCCAGCAGAAGACCGATATCTTTACTAATGCAATCAGCAAAAGCTTTACTGGTCACTCAGGGCACTGTGTCCTAAATTTAACTTTTAACTGTAACATACTACCCTGTTAATAACGTTCAACATGGAGGCCTTTTTAAAAATGCAGTGTGCATTTCTTTTAATCCATGCACCAGAATACAAGATGAACAAGCACACATTTTTCAAAGCTAGAGTCCTCGACATCTCTCTGTCTCTTTCCTGCCATTTAATCCCAAAATCAAACTGAGTTGGTCTCAATTGATCGCCGACTCACTCTCCACCCTCCTGCTGAGAGACATGAATCTTTAATGGGCCCTGCAGTGTCTACATCAGGCAAACACAAACCCTCTGGCCGTCTCAAAAGAGCCTTCAGCACCTTAAACTACCAACATCCTCTAAGACTTCTATTATACTACAATTTACCCTGCCAAAAGGCATAATGGTCAAAGACTGACATTAAGGTAACTACTTAATTATTTTGAATATTGATTACCTACTACTACTTTTCTACTAAACATACAACTAGTCAGACCTAGAAATAGAATTTTATGAAATATAGCAATTTTTAGATACCAAATAAAAAAAATTGAAATAAACTATAAAGGCCCTACATTTTATATTAGAGGCATTTTGGTCACTTTCAATGGGATTTTGGCCACAAGCCCTGGTTCATTCCTGACTTTGCTGCAAGCACACCGCCCATCAAGCTTTGCACCACAGCAGAAATGCGTGTCACTGCAGCGTATGGACATAGGTCTCCTTTTTCAGAGCCGCCTCATTAATAAATCAACATTCAGCACTCAGCAGGAACAGGAGTCTGTGCCGCCACTATATAAGAACTCACAGGATCTGATGCTGTGCTTTTGTTGTAGTGTTATTCTCAGCTTCTTCACAGACGGGCTATGCATAAGTGCAGAGGCATGACAATGGATACTATCTGGGGTGACCAGTAACACCTCTGTCATAACTATAGAGAAATGAGAAAATTAATTTGACAGTATATTTAATACTTATTCTATGAGTTTGCTACATGATTTTTTTTCCTTCTTGCACTAAACTATCTTTAATCCACAGCTTCAAAGGCTGTTTGATAAATGTTATATTCCATTTTTGGGGGAAATATATTATATGCTACTGTTTAAAAATTTGGAGTTGGTAAGACTTTTTTGATGTTTCTTATGCTCACCAAGGCTCACCAGGGGCCTTTTGCATAAACTGTTTAGAACATTTTTTTTTCTTCTAGACCGGTCATAACTTTTCTAGAAATTCTCATAAATTCAGTTACAAAAAAGATAGATTGGTTTCATTTGCATATGAAAAATAAGTCTGATTACCCCTTGTCTATTGCTAGTTGGTGAAACTAGTTCTTAAGACACAGTCTTACATAGTGACTATGTTTATGCAACTGGCCCCAAATTGGGAAAAACAGTAATATTGAGAAATATAATTATAATTAAAAAAATATTTGTTTTGCATTAATATATTTTAAAATGCAATTTATTCATGTGATAGCAAAGCCATGCCACTTTAGAAACCACTCTAATATGCTGATTTGGCAATCGAGAAATATTTATTATTATTATCAATTGTTGAAAACAATTGTGCTGGTTAATAATTTTGTGGAAACTGTAATGTTTTTTCAAGATTCTCTGATGTATAGAAAGTTAAAAAGAACTAAATTGACTTGAAATAGAATTTTTTTAACGTTATAAAAGTCTTTACTGTCACTTTTTTAAAAATTAAATGCTTCCTTGCTGTGTTCCTGTAAATGTCAGTTTATTTTTAGAGATTGTATGTATTGTTTTATTTTATTTTATAAATAAGAAACTACTTACAGCAACAAAAACTTTTAAAAATTATATACATGATTTTTGTTTGAATATGCAGATGTATTGTTTCAGTATATTTTCTTCTGTGAAAACTTATTTACACCATAGGCTAATTTAACCTGTTTTTCATAGTTGTTTTTGTTGTTGTTGCTGTTTTTTCATTTGCATGCTTATTGGTGGTGGAGACACTGTTCCCTAACAGTCACCTGAGAGACTTACTGAAACCGAAAAGTATAGCCAAAAATGAAATTGTGCCTGTATGTGTGCTAACATATAAATGCATTGAATGAAGGGGTTGCAAAGCACAAAGCAAACATGATACACGGTTCCTGAGGGTATCCTTACACAGAACACACACACACACACACACACACACAAAAAGTACAAGGGAGTGAAAAGGTTGAAACATTAAAATCAGCAATTATTACCTTGATGGGGAAATAATGGGATCAAATAAAGTTTTGGGAATCTAATGTCGGCCAGCAGGGTGTTTCATCTCTACAGGATTTCGATCTTTTCTTATGAACTCGGTGAAGGTGGACAGAGGAGGCACCGAGGCACGTGAAATGAGAAGCCATTCATTTCACGGGCACGTGTCTTGCTTTAACTCACTTTGAGGCTGTCTTGCTTGCGTATGTTTTGTGTTCAAGAAGAAAACAGGGAGGGAGAGTAGAAAAAGAAGAAGAGAGCAAAGAAAAGAGCAGCAGTTTTTCTAGGCAAACAGAATGTGATCTGACTTCTGTTCTATAGTTTGAGCAGAACGTATTCTTGGACTGCAAGAAAGAAAAGAAACCGGAGGGATAGATAGTAAGACAGATTTTCTTTTTGCTGATGTTGAGTTTTCTTAGTTTTTCCATTTTTATAAATGTTGCGGTTTTTGGTGTTTATTCTGTTATAAAAGTTGGAACGGTCCACATGGAGACGTTGGCCAGGATGGAGGCAGGTGGTTTGGAGAACATGACAGGAAAGGGTCTAAATTGCCCAGAGGATGATGGGAAGGTGACAGGCTCAGATGATACCATACTGAGCCAGCTCGTGAAGCTCCAGATGGTTGAAGGCCTCCCAGGGGCAGATGACAGTGATGTCTGTAGGTAGAAACACAGGAGCATGAGTTCATCTATCAATCAAAGGGTTAACTTAAGCAGCTTGAAGGCCAGCTAGCATTCACGTCTGTTTAATCACAGTGATGTCCTAATGTCATATGGGATGTTTGATGATGCACTGAATGATCAGACTAATAATTTCAGACGAGGACAGCTTAGAATAAATGGTAGGTGATATTGTCATGAAGGCAAAACACGTGAGGAGAAATGGAGATTAAACTTACCAGTGCCTAAACCTTCCATGCCAGGGATGTCGTCTCCGAAACTATTAAAAATCAATTAAATAAAAATAGATGTTAAATTCAATTAGATACCTATTTTAAAATACATGATATTTTTTGAAGTCATGTTGCAGAATTATTAAATATGCACATATTTAATTATTCTTAGTGTAATAAGGCATGACTGAAGTGTAGAATATCACAAAGCCATTACAATAATGATTTTACTGTCTAACTTACCCTTGGATACCCTTCTTTGGTGGTTTGCTCTTGAACTGGCGAGTCTGCCTTTGCTTGAACTTGGGTGGTCCTTTGCGTGGTGTGGCAGGACCACCGGTGACACGGGTGGCGGATTTGATCTCTGGTTTGGGCAGCTCAAGATTCATGGCTGTTGGTAACCGTTGGTCGCTTTTCTTTGTATTCGCTCCCCGTGATGTAGTGCTAATGTAAATACACCAGAAAGACTGGAGTGAGTTTATAGTTCACACCCAATGACATTTGGATTTTTCTATCAAATTGATCTTGGTTTCATTCTGGAAAGAAAATGTACTGTGGAGGACTTTATGACACATAAAAACACACAGGTTTTTAAATGGCACATTAGGCCAGGAAGGTTACAGTAATTGCAAGGTCAATGCATATCTATGGCAGACACCCCAGACTGAGAAAACTATACCCATAATCCTCTTACTGAGGAGTAACTGTAATTGAATGTCTAACATGGCCCATGCTCCCAGAAATGAGCTCGGGGGAAAGTGTGATGGGTAGGGTGACCCATTTTGTGTAATCCAGAGCTTGGATTAATAAATGTCCCCCATCCCAATGGTGGCAATCTGCACTTGGGTTAATCTTATTAGAGCAGGGATAACACCAAACATGCTGAGCAAACAGAAAATATAAGAGTCAAAATATGACCTTCGGGTATATTCCTAAAAGATTAATGGGAATAGACAATGGCAATGATGCCTGCTGCACAATTGTTCTTTCTTTCTTTCTTTCTTTTTCTTTCTTTCTTTCTTGGAACTGAGGTAACTATAATGAATTCTGTTAACATCATATTCACAACATTATATTTATATTAAAAAAGACAATGGTTTGCATATTTTCATATATTTTAAACAACAAACACGCATAAATGTTAAAGATGAATCTTCAGTGGATAATTTGTGTGCATGTCTTGTCCTCAGAATATCTAACCACTACTCACACACACACACAAATATATATATACTTTAATTAAACACAATATTAAACAATATTACTACATTTTTCAGTGCATATGGCCTATCCAGTTAAACAGTGTTAATAAAAATAATCAATTTATGATTAATTTAAATTGTTCAATTGAAAATGTTTAAATTTTACAGATATATTGTATAAATATAATTATACAACTTCCTAGATTATTCTGTTTGGCCAATTATGGCATTCTGTGGTTATGCAAAATGATCAATAAACTGTACAAATGACTTATCCCAGGCAACCTTGTATGTCTGTTATACGAATCTATGGTCCATTTTGTCTCACATAATATTTTAACTCTAATCAATATTTCATACTATTCAATAAGTACCCATATAATAAGTAGCATGGTGTACAGTCAAATCCTCCTCAAGACCCATAATACCTTAGAGTATTATGACCTTTTGACACATTGTTACAGCATATTACAAAACAACTCATTCCTTATGGATATTTAAATATTTTAAGGTTGCACTCACAGGTTTGTTGATTGACAGGCTGTTGACTGGGTGCAGCTGCACCGTTTCTTATGTATGTCTCTGCTGTGGAGGGGTGGATGTCAACGCTCGGCTTTCTTTGGGAGCGGTGCAGGGGTTACAGGTCTCTTATACTCTATGACCCCCTCAGAAGATTAGGAGAGGGACGCCTCCCGCCCCTGATCCCCTCAACAGCAGATGAACACAATATGAATGTATGCGTTTAATATGTATTTGTGTAACACCATGTGCTTTTAGCATCTTATATATTAACTTTATATCCTATACAGTTTTAATATCATAAAACAACATACAGGCCTATCTATAATAAACTACATATACAGTGGGCTCAAACAGTATTTGGACAAAATTTTAAATATCATTGCATTTGATGATGCCACTTTATGTACAGTACTTTAGGCCTGGTTTTGTTTATAAAGTGTGTAGCAGAAATATATTTTTTGCAAAGCTGGCTTAAAAATTTATATTTTATTTTAGATGTCTTCTTTATATAATATGATATAATTATACATACACACGCACACACACACACACACACACACACACATAATTCTGTTTATTCATATTAAATAATAAAATATGAATATTGTATATAGATAAACAGTATTAAAATCGTTGTTCAGTAACAATGATCAAATACTCATTTCATATTACCTAGTGCATAATATGAATTATATAAAAATATGAATGATGTTTCTGAACTCATTTTGTGCAAATGTAGTGTTTGTAGAATTTACTTGATGTTAGAGGACAATAACTATGAAAAAAATCAACAAGAATTGTTCCAGAAGGTTTCTAGAATAGGCTAATTCTGTTTGAGATGGGATTTGCTGATCGAATAACACTGGATAATATAATGGAAATATCCAGAAGTGGATGATAAACAGTGTTTAGCAGATAAAGTTCTCCTAGAGCTTCTTTGTTCTGCAACTTTCTATCATTGTTACGCAATAGGCCCACATCCATGGGAGTCCGTTACATTGTCTAGTGGAGTTCATTAGCAACTCATCCCACAGTGTTTAGCAGAACCACTCCAGCCAAGAATCCCTGTTTCACATGTGTGACCCTGGACCACAAAACCAGTCTTAAGTCGCTGGGGTATATTTGTAGCAATAGCCAAAAATACATTGTATGGGCCAAAATTATAGATTTTTCTTTTATGCCAAAAATCATTAGGATATTAAGTAAAGATCATGTTCCATGAAGATATTTTGTACATTTCCTACAGTAAATATATCAAAACTTCAGTTTTGATTAGTAATATGCATTGCTAAGAACTTTATATGGACAACTTTAAAGGCGATTTTCTCAATATTTTGATTTTTTTTTTGCACTCAGATTCCAGATTTTCAAATAGTTGTATCTCTACCAAATATTGTCTTATCCTAACAAACCATACATCAATGGAAAGCTTATTTATTCAGCTTTCATATGATGTATAAATCTCAATTTCAAAAAATTGACCCTTATGACTGGTTTTGTGGTCCAGGGTCACATATAATGTTTTAGCAAATACCACATTTGTTGTGTGTATGTTATCATATTTGTAGATCATTCATAATAAAAAATAAATATACTATTAAAACTACACTAGCCGTTTCTAAGGATGGTATTCCATTTTAATTCTACTTCCATAAATTCTGCATAATGTTTGTGACCATAATTTAAATGTAATTCTAAATCAGGAATTAAAAAACATTCTCCGATTAGTTCAGAGTAGAGCACAGCCTTGAAAAACAGTGAGTGATGGGATTTTGTGTTTCGTTCAGGTACGAGAGAGATTGCGGGTGTCACTAGAGAGGGTCTCTGCCTTGGAGGAGGAGTTGGCCGCAGCCAATCAGGAGGTGAGGTACACATGCTCTGATTTATGTAATTATTCAGCAATCTGCACCAAAAAGGGAGTTAAATGTACGCAATAAACATGCTATATATATATATATTTAATTTGTTGCTATGATGTGTTGTTTTTGCTTGATCTGATTAGTGTGAAATGCAACAGAGCAAATAGTACATTGTGTATTTTAGTGTTTTATTCTAGTACTGGCAGTCCAGAGGGTGCCGTTCTAGCTGAAAGAGCTTCACACTTTTTTTTTTCCTTTAAGAGATATTCAATGTTGAGATTGTGTGTACCAATTTTGACTGCACTGCGAGTTCTGCTATGTGTTATAATGTCTCTGTTTCTGAATTAACACTCATCTGATCTCTTCGGGTCATGAGAGAGGGCCGCCTCAGATCAAAGAGCCAGACAGACGGCGAGGGGAGAAGAGGTGAAAGCAGTTATTTAAAACAAGACAATGACTCAGTCCTAAGACAGATAAAGAGAGATAACAAATAAATCATACTGTATGTAAAATATCTAAAGACTCAACAAATCAAAACTAACAGCAAACATATTGATGAGAAAATTTTTACTTACATCTCGCCAACGTCAAGTGGGTGAGTGCGTGTCAACCAAGAGAAAGCTTTGCTCTGAATTCTGGGATCCGCGTTAGTCGACCTCAGAGGGTTAAAAAACATAAGGATTTCAATTGAGGCTGCTTTTAAATTTCATCCAGCCCTTTAAGCTGCCCAAGGTTACTTCTCTGAAAATGTTTATTTATTATTAGTAGTAGTCATTGAAAACCTCATGCTTTTGAATGACTGTTCATTGATGTTATAAAAGGACATTCACACATCCTAGCGAAATGGCAGAGACCGTAGAACGTTCAGAATACAGCCGTGGCTGGTGCCTTTCCAGACTGGAGAAGCACAGATGTCACACTGTACTTACTAAAGCTAAGCATGTGCTTAAGATTATTTAAGATCTGTTCTGTCTGTGTGAGCTATGGAAGCCCGTTTCCACCACTGAATAAAAAATAAAAAAGGTTATTGCGACTTTTTATTGCGAAATATAAAGTCAAAATTGTGAGATATAAACTCGCAATTGCGAGTTATAAAGTCAGAATTGCGAGTTAT